TACTATATTTGGGCAAAAATGGCCGCTCCCAGACTCAGGGATCGCCATGAAAATTATCACTTTTATTTTTTGACTGATTAAGGCTAAATTAATTAATTTAACACAAACGTATTAGTTTTAGGTATAAATAATGATCCATTGGTTATTCCTGGCTGACCGGACTTCTCCTTTAACACTACATCCGATTGGGGCCCAGATCAGATTGGAAAACGGTTCCATGCGACTCGACCTTTTCATAAAATACTGAAAAATCTCAGAAAGAAAACCAATAGGAAGTTTTAACCCGTTTGTCTGCAGTTTGAACGCAGCCAATGAATAGAAAAGCAAAGCACACATTTTTGCTTGTTTTTAATCAGTGCTTGACTGTAACGAGCTCTTACAAGGTTATATAGTGAGTTAATGGTGCATAAATTTGTAAAAAAAATAAAAAAAACCTTGTAGCTAAAGTTGCATTTAAGCGTCTGTTTTTTCTTTACCACTTCTGCATCGACCATCAGTTTAAACTGTTCAACAGCATCCGCTTGATTCTGCTGGTCTGCTGCCATGGCGTCCAGCACAGTTCTACCGTCACGCTTGGCGGCTCCAGGCTTCACCACAGCTAACCGACAGACATCAACTACTCCAGACCAACACTGATTTCCTCCAGCTGGAGGTAGGTTAGATAAAAACACCTTATTTTCGTCATTTATTTTGTTCCCAGCTACAATCTGAGCTGACCAACTTAGAGACGACACCAATTATAATAAAACCAATGTCTTTAATTCACCAAACCACGGTTCATTTTTCACCATATGAAGACGGGACAATGATCGTTAAAATGCTACATTTAATCAGGACTTTTTGAACATCTAACTAAAGTTAACAAATGAAATGAGCGACTATCTAATCTAGTATTTCCCCAAACGTAGCCGTAGCTGTACTGTGAAGCAAACAAACCCTGAAACTTGGAGAAAAAATAAACCAGCAGAATTTAACACCTGTAGCTTTAATATAATCAATTTTCTTTTGTTTAACAGGAAACATCTTATAAATTAGACCAGAAGTTCAGTAATTACTACCCCATTATATCCCATACTCACTAACCCAATCATTTACAGAGGTTAGAAACCAAAACAGGAATAAAATCTTCTGCAATAAGAAACTGATCAATTAAAGATGGGCTGTTATTATGGCCCATAGTTAAAAAGGGAGTTAGCAGGCAGATGGCCGCTCACACTGAGCCTGGTGGAGGTTACTTCCTGTTCAAAGGGAGTTTTTCCTCCCCACTGTCGCTACAAGCATGCTTAGTGTGAGGGATTGCTGAAGAGTCAATGAGTCGATGCAATCAGCTGGTTTTCCTTAGATAGAAAACTTTGAATC